GGTCTGTCTATAATGGGAGAGTACAGGATGGCTTGGGCCGGTCTCTCTATAATGGAAGAGTACAGGATGTCAGGGGCCGGTCTGTCTATGATGGAAGAGTACAGGATGGCTTGGGGTGGTCTGTCTATAATGGAAGAGTACAGGATGTCAGGGGGTGGTCTGTCTATAATGGGAGAGTAGAGGATGGCTGGGGGTGGTCTGTCTATAATGGGAGAGTACAGGATGGCAGGGGCCGGTCTGTCTATGATGGAAGAGTACAGGATGTCAGGGGGTGGTCTCTCTATAATGGAAGAGTACAGGATGGCTGGGGGTGGTCTGTCTATAATGGGAGAGTACAGGATGGCTGGGGGTGGTCTCTCTATAATGGGAGAGTACAGGATGGCTTGGGGTGGTCTCTCTATAATGGAAGAGTACAGGATGGCTTGGGCCGGTCTCTCTATAATGGAAGAGTACAGGATGTCAGGGGCCGGTCTGTCTATGATGGAAGAGTACAGGATGGCTTGGGGTGGTCTGTCTATAATGGGAGAGTAGAGGATGGCTGGGGGTGGTCTGTCTATAATGGGAGAGTACAGGATGTCAGGGGGTGGTCTGTCTATAATGGAAGAGTACAGGATGTCAGGGGCCGGTCTGTCTATGATGGAAGAGTACAGGATGGCTTGGGGTGGTCTGTCTATAATGGAAGAGTACAGGATGTCAGGGGCCGGTCTGTCTATAATGGAAGAGTACAGGATGTCAGGGGGTGGTCTGTCTATAATGGGAGAGTAGAGGATGGCTGGGGGTGGTCTGTCTATAATGGGAGAGTACAGGATGTCAGGGGGTGGTCTGTCTATAATGGAAGAGTACAGGATGAATGGGGGTGGTCTGTCTATAATGGGAGAGTACAGGATGGCAGGGGGTGGTCTGTCTATAATGGAAGAGTACAGGATGAATGGGGGTGGTCTGTCTATAATGGGAGAGTACAGGATGGCAGGGGGTGGTCTGTCTATAATGGAAGAGTACAGGATGGCTGGGGGTGGTCTGTCTATAATGGGAGAGTACAGGATGTCAGGGGGCGGTCTCTCTATAATGGAAGAGTACAGGATGGTAGGGGGTGGTCTGTCTATAATGGGAGAGTACAGGATGGCAGGGGGTGGTCTGTCTATAATGGGAGAGTACAGGATGGCTTGGGGTGGTCTGTCTATAATGGGAGAGTACAGGATGGCTGGGGGTGGTCTCTCTATAATGGAAGAGTACAGGATGGCTGGGGGTGGTCTCTCTATAATGGGAGAGTACAGGATGGCTGGGGGTGGTCTGTCTATAATGGGAGAGTACAGGATGGCAGGGGGTGGTCTGTCTATAATGGGAGAGTACAGGATGGTAGGGGGTGGTCTGTCTGTAATGGGAGAGTACAGGATGGCTTGGGGTGGTCTGTCTATAATGGGAGAGTACAGGATGGCTGGGGGTGGTCTGTCTATAATGGGAGAGTACAGGATGGCTGGGGGTGGTCTGTCTATAATGGGAGAGTACAGGATGGCAGGGGGTGGTCTGTCTATAATGGGAGAGTACAGGATGGCTGGGGGTGGTCTGTCTATAATGGAAGAGTACAGGATGTCTTGGGGTGGTCTCTCTATAATGGGAGAGTACAGGATGGCTGGGGGTGGTCTGTCTATAATGGGAGAGTACAGGATGTCTTGGGGTGGTCTCTCTATAATGGGAGAGTACAGGATGGCTGGGGGTGGTCTGTCTATAATGGGAGAGTACAGGATGGTAGGGGGTGGTCTGTCTATAATGGGAGAGTACAGGATGGCTGGGGGTGGTCTGTCTATAATGGGAGAGTACAGGATGGCTGGGGGTGGTCTGTCTATAATGGGAGAGTACAGGATGGCAGGGGGCGGTCTGTCTATAATGGGAGAGTACAGGATGGCTGGGGGTGGTCTGTCTATAATGGGAGAGTACAGGATGGCAGGGGGTAGTCTGTCTATAATGGAAGAGTACAGGATGGCTGGGTGGGGGTCCGTCTGTAGAGGCAGAGTCCCGGGTTCCTGAGTGGTGGTCCGTCTAAATGTGCAAATCAGGGTGTGAAATGACCGTCAAGCGACCGCCATGTACTCGGTCCTTCAGATGGACCACACCCGGCACTCAGCCCATACAATCAAGTACAATTCTGCAACAATTTCACAAGTTAAAACGACAAAAGTGTTTCAAACGTTCCTCATGTTCATACATGAGAAAGAGGACATTTTAAATGTGTGCATGTCACAGTGGTTTAGTAGCACCGTCACCATGCTCAGGTAGACCTAGACGAGTTCAAAATAGGAGCGCATGCCTTCTGTGCCAGAACTCTGACCTCGTTTTTTGCTTGACCCAAGATAAAACCGTTATACAAGCTGGTGTCTGCACTTATATCTCCGCGTTGTCATCGATGTACGTGACATCCCGGCATGGGTTACTTCAAAATCAATACATGCTACTTACGCCAGGCAATATCGTTGAAGCCTTTAAGACGCCTACTTGTCACAGCTGTAGAAATTATGTCATGGAGATGAGGTAAAAATGTCGTTAACTTCTTTACTCTGGCCAGACATGAGAACGTAAAGCTTCTTATCCACGCATTACACATTATGTGTGACAGTTATTGTTTATATGTTTCACGCCATTAACATTTATTGGACAGTGACAGGGCAGTTTGACCCCAGGGCAGTCACGCTCGTCGCCTGTGAAGGATCGTGCTATTAGTTGGATTCGATTTATGGGAGTTTTCCCAAGAAGAAATAAAATTATTTAAACGGCGTTTTAAGGTGTCAGTTAAAGGAAGCAATGAAGCGATATATGAAAACTCGAAGTCCTAAAGTAACACGTGACCTTGAATATCGTGCTTTCGTTACCTGCCAAAAAGACTCGTCCCCCAATCGATGAATGTTATGTGCGAAAATACGACAAACCAATCAGAATGCGCGTATGAATTCAATTTCTTCGTCAAAGAATCCCTCAGAAATATCTTTTTTATTTTACACATGTCTTGCATCTAAAAATATACCCAAGACACAGTTAAATGTGTTCAATCATACTGTATAATTCCGCATGTCCAGATATGCTTTAAATTGCATGTGAAATATATATAATCTACGAGGAAATATATGTGAACCATTACGCAACGACTTGACAACTGTTTTAGGTATGCCCGTTTGCGCTTAGACGGAACCCGGTCGCAAAAATGTCCACGAGTTGGTCACGAATGCTCCTTCTTAGGATTAAGCAGCGCTTGGAATGAACGCTCCATGACGACCACATGTATGGGTAAACACCGAGGTGCCGAGTTGCGGGCAGGTTTTCGTGGTGTTAACAGCTAATATTTTCACATCGCAAGCAATAATACTGAAGTACCTAAATCAGACCTACCAAAGAAATTATAGTTTGTTTGTTTGTTTGTTGTTTAACGCCACACTCTGCAATATCCCAGCTATATGACAGTGGCATGTAACTAATCCAGTATGGACCAGACAACCCAGTAATCGATATTGCAAACAACAATCCACGCCGTCGGGGTACGATGACAGGCAATCAACTAAGTCAGCAAGTCTGACCACCCGATCCTCAAACGACCAGCATGGGTTGTTGGTGCAGTTTTCTTACCGGGATGTTCCACGAGGACCAATGAAAAGAACTAAGACTTATCCAGGCACTAAGAACGACTGCCACGCACTCCGGGGACAGTAATTTGCCCACTCAAAAGGGGGGCAGTGGTTTTGTCATCTCAGATATTGTTGTTGTGCACAAATAACATACACATTACTAGTCTGTGCGAACATGAGGTGAGATGAAATGGGGTTTAACGTCACGTCCAAGATTATTGCACTTTTATAGCGACGTGCATGTACGTGTGTGTGTTTGTGTGGCTGCTTGTACTAACCCGGACTGATGCCGATTTATAGTGCTAGCACACTGAGATACCATGCCGCAGTTTAACATGAATACCCCACTCAGACACAGTATACTGACTCCGAGCCGACCAGTCCTAGATTTAGCCCCGTAACGCCGAGCGCCAGACAGGGTTACAACAAGTACCATCTTATAACGTCTTTTGGTATGCCGCGGCCGAGGATCGAACCCCGGACCTTCCGCTCTCCGGGCGGACGCTCTACCATTAGACCACGGAGGCGGTCTGTACGAACATGAAGGCAGAAGGCAGGAGGTTCAATTTGTTGAATACGATGAACAGCATTGAGGATGATATTTCGACAGCAATGGTCGATTGTAAGATATCCGAGGATGAGTTTCGTTTAGTGTTGTCAGAACTCACCAAATACAACGCAATGAAGCAGGAGATTCGATCAAAATCTCATAAGACCAGTGGTATTAGTGAAGACGAGAAAAAAAAGTTCATAGAACAGGGGAGGCAACAAGCGCGTCAATTATTCCGTGCCAAAACCAAAGAACTGGTTGGAGATTAAAAATAGATTGCTTACTACACTCTAAATCTATGTGTTCTAATATAGAACACTGGACGCGTCCATACGTTCTGCCACAGAATACGAATGTTCTAATTCGTGCAGCACGTGTTCTATTGCTGAACGCCTGTGATCTGATGTAGAACGCGTGTGTTCTCTCCTGGGAGAAGTCCATGCACATTAGCAGAGTTAATGTGCTGAATGCTGTTAGACAAATTTAAATTCGACCATCATATTTGTGTTTTCGGAATATTTATTTTTGAGAAGAAGAGAGGCTGGTAGATTGGTATGTCAAACAGAAAATGTGTATAAGAAGGGTTATATTTTGAGTTTGATGAATAATAAATAGTTTATAAACATGGCATACTTTGTGTTAATAATAACTCATATGTAGCCTGAATAAATACAACAAGAAACATTACTGAAATACAACTCATTGCTAATACATGGAAATAACTTGCTTGCATTGGGGACATTTACGTGTATCAGAACACTGGCATTCTGATGGCTAATTTTAGCTGGATCTTTAATGGGTGCTCTGGAACATATACGGTCTATTTGCTGAGCGCCTGCGTTCTCTCCTAGAACGCGTGTGTTCTGCTGTGTTCTATAATGTTATATGCGAGAACACGTGTTCCATTAATAGAACATCGGTGTTCTGTTTTTCTAACAAGCATTCAAAGCTGTCCATGCTCTGTGATTCACATCCGTTATGTGAGAAACTGGCGTGACGTCGCATGTATTTGGCGCTACAATTTCCTATGATCTGAGGTGTCTGTGGTAAGTATCCATCTAGGAATACTTTTGTTTCATATTTAATACGTACCTAAAATAATGTAATATTTCGGCGATATATTCATATGCTGATCCCAACGAAGTAAAACCGGCCCCTTACAAAACGCATAGCAGACGACATATTACTCGCCATTTTGACCGTCATTTCTGCCATTGTTCCACACGCTTTATTTATAAATTATGAGATGAAATTCCAATCCAAATTGCAAGTGTCACTATTTGAACGTTTCCGTTTATTTGAATGATGTTCAAATAAAATGAATATATATTTCAGGTTCTATATGAATCGCCTGAAAGTGCGAAGCGGGCTACGTGCAACAAATCTCTGAACATCTAAATTTGGGATCCGAGGGCATGATCAGCAAGCATCGACAATGCATCGAAATCAGCAGAGAGTAGTGTAAGTATGTAATGAACAAAAAGAACTAAACCTTCACAGGACATGTTTTTGGCTATTTTATGTGAAATATTTTAGAGAATCAGTCTTGTTGTTTCTATTTCAGGGTGCATTGCAGATAATCAGTACCATCCATGGAAATTATTGCACAGGGCACACGTCTACACAAAGGAGGAAAAGACACAAGGTTTTGCAGATCAAATAAGAAGGTACTTGTGTATATTTTGCTCTAACCTTTATCCAAGTAAGTGGTAACTTTGTTAGTCAAATGACATTTTTGGCAAAACATTTTGCAACCTATAAATAATGAAACAAATGTCACGGTAATCTTGGGTTTACTAACGAACATTTGTTAGAATGTCCTATGTAATATGTACGAGTTTGATAACTATATGACTATGATCAAATAAATGTTTTGTGTTGTAGGATGTTGGGGAGTCATATTTGACATGAAGTTTCCTGAAGCCTGCGATGGTCATGTCGCTGTTACGAACATCGTCCTTTGGGGATATTTACCCACAAGAAACATCTGCGAAGTACATGCGCTTGAAACTTAAGTTATCTTAAGTATGGAAGTATGCTTCAATTTGCTACACAACAGTTTGTAATGTTTCATGAAGAACTCTGACTCATAAGTGACTTGAATATCCATGATCATCCCAAACAAATATAATAAAGAATTCATGGTTGCAGTTCAGAATTTCGTCCGTGTGATTTTATGCCAGAGAATATGCATGGGTGTATGGTTTAAATTCTTACACCTTGAAAAACATCGGGTAAATTGTATTCGACACACACGATGAGTTGTCGTTTCAGTAATGTGGAAGTACGTGTCCGAGAACGTGTAGTGTTCTGAATCTCGGTCCAGAACACTTTACAGGCGTTCTAAAAGCGTTACATCGTCAGAACACGTTGAAGCGTTCTAAATATGTTTGTAGAACACTCCTGTTCTGGGTCGAGAACATCAACGTTCAGAATATTTTCAGAACACATGGACGCGTTCTAAAAGTGTTACATCCATGTGTTCTGTCTAGTGTTCAGAAGTGGAACACTTGGGTTTAGAGTGTATCCTTAGATCACATTTAGACAAATGCTTACATAAATATATATAATAATGGAGAATTACAACACAACAATCGAAAAAGCTATTAAATGGAGAGAATTACCACAAGGTTTTTATTAAACCAACCAAATACGGTTATCAATTGTTTCTTATCAATTTACAAGAAGAGTGTAATTATATAGTCTGGTCTCCTAGTAAAATGAACGAAGAACTTAATAAAAATGTTGAATATCGCTTTATTGATAAAAATAATAAAGAATATTTTTATTACCATTTAGGCTCATCTAAAGCAATGGTTGGCCCCAGGTATTGGTGAGCTAGACCCAATTTAACTTAATCTTATGACTATCATTGAATCGCATCATCATTTTGGCATAAAAAATGCCCCCTGTAGTAGCAGTATAGGTGTATGAATCTGGCTCCAGTGGAAGTGGTCCAGAACCATCATTACCTATACTACTAATGTAGTTTATTTTACAGTTCGGTCTTTGTTGGGGGCCTTGTAGGTGGTAGGGTCTTCTATCACACCAGCTACACAGTACACCCACTCTCTTCACTTTGTTTTCACTTTAGCTTTCTGGTCAGTTAATCCCTTTGGCTTAAAGGGGAAGTGTACACGCAAAAATCACTTTCTTTCTTTTTCTAAACAAAACGCAATTTTAGAATTAATTAGTATCTGTGTTTGAAAATATACACTCATTTTTTTCACAGTGAACGTAGGAAGCTCACAATAGTGTGAAAATGATATGCCGTTATGAGGCCTTCGTTTTTCGAGCTAAACAGGCCTGAGTTATCCCCCTTAGATTATGACGTAATTGGTGCCAATTCAACTGGGTCCCTGTCTATTCTCAACGCAAAAGATATCAAGTACCAGTTTGCGGTAAAACAACATGGCCTACGACACACTCCGGCGCAGTGGTGACTCAGCATAACACTATGCTGGCTGGCATCTGAGACGCTAGAATCACACATCTGGACCTACACCACGTGAAGCGGCTCTAACAAAGCAGGATGACGTCATAATGTTTATCAATTGGCACCAATGACGTCATATTGCAAGGGGCATAAGCCATGGTGTTTTTGTTGTGGAAATAGAACACTTGGTAAATGTGAAAAATATAAATCGTTTTAATGCGAAAAATATGTTAATTAATTGTGATATTTTTATATTTTTGTCTATGACACTTCTATGTTAACACTTATAATGTGGAAAAAGTACAAGAAAAATAGGTTCATTTCCGTGTGAACTTGCCCTTTAAACGTTATTTGTTCCCCTTGTATACGTACCTTCAACACGCCTGTAAACATAGCAGCATACGCTCTCTCATTGTTCATCTGAACGTGCATGTATCCTTGAAACGTCGTTACAAACAAGAAAGAAGTTGTTATCCATGACAATGGGTTCAATTCTTCATAGATATTTCAATCTGGATACAATTTGATGTTATTTAGATACATTGCAGATTTTGGCAGACAAAAATTGGGCTGAAGGTTTTAATTAACATATCTGGTTTTGCAGCTGTGGTTGAAGAAAGGTCTAGTCTCCAAACAAAATCCCCCCCCCCCCCCCCCCCCCGCCCAGAATATCAAATGGTCGGTCCCCCAGTGTAATGTTATGTGTTTGCTCTAACGCTAAAAATATTTCGAATGTATCTGTATTAAAATAGCTTATATATTCAGTGTGTTAGACAAGGATGATAAATCTGTCCGTTACTCTTTTTTGTTCTTATGTTATGGTTACACAACGCCGAATAAGACCGTTTAGAACATGTACTTGTTCTTGTGACTTTGACTTTGAGAGAAGATATGTTCTACTTTCTTTGGTGGGTTACACATCTGCAAAAGAAACGGGATTCTAAAATAAATGTACCCCGTGACACCCCAAAATTCTGATTATACGAGCTGAATAGGTCTTATATAACTCGACGCGGTTGTCGTAACCATGTCTTCGTTGTCAAAAAGTGAGGGAATCGGGTTTTACGCCGCTTTTGCCAATATTCCGGCGAACGGGAATCGAACCAGGACCTTCGACGTGACGAGCGAACGCTTTGACCACAAGGCTACCCCCACGCTGCTGTTGTCAATAAGGGCCTGCTACCCAACCTTATACAAATGACAGGGACACGACATCGTGCCTCTTTGTTTTGTTGTCCATGATTAACGACTGTTCTCTGTCTTCAGATCCACAGATGTGCAGAACTCTACACCAAGCTAATTACAGACCACCCCGCGCACAGCTACCCGCTCTCATCGTTCCCCAGCTCCAGGTCACGTGACCATTACCTTCACTATGTTGACCTCAAGCCGTCGGGGTCAAGGTCAGCCCCGCCATGGTGTCGACGTTTTAGGGAATCTCCCAGAGGGGATGGGGTTAGTACTAGAGGGGGTGGCGTTAATACTAGAGAGGATGGGGTTAATACCAGGCGGACGAGCGTTCATACCAGAGGAGAAATCATTCATACTAGGGGAGATGGGGTTAATACCAGAACGGACATGACAAATGCGAGAGGGGGGAGCGTCAATACCAGAGAAGGGGTTAATACCAGAGGGGAGAGCGTTTGTTCCAAAGGTGAGAGAGTTACTACCGGAGGAGAGAGGGGTTGTGCCCCAGGGAACAGATCGAACGTCAGTGCTGGCCGGGTTAGCGACGCTACGGGGACGTTAAACAGACTGACCACACAGAGCAACAATTGCAGAGTCGGGCCTATATGGCTAACGGAACATCTCAGGTCACGTGAGTGTGGAGCACCTGTTACTGTGACGCTTCCCCACGTTCAAGAGAACACCAGAACATTACCACCCGGTGTTCACGCGAGGGTGCTACCCAGAAACCCCTCAGTCAGAGAGAAGATCAGAGGCCGGGCGCGGCTCGATTACGAGATGGCTAATATAAAAGCCGAAGCATTCTGTGAACAACAGAGAGGGAAATATTTCAGGACAGCTTCAGCTAATCTCCGGAATCGTGACGTCAGATTTCAGGAAGAGGAGCTGCGCGAGCAGATGCGCAGAGAGCAGGGGGATGGAGAAGATGACGTCATCAGTATTGTGACGTCTCCACTTGACAGGGAGGAACTGTATTCCCGGATTCAGGACTGGATTGACGATGTTCAGGGGGCCTTAAAGCATTCCCCCTCAACTATTAAATAATCCCTATTGCTAGGTATACCTAACATATATATATGTTCACGATATACAATATTTGATGAAACTCGGTGTTTCGATGGATCCCCTGGCCGCGTCATACCAAAAGACTGTAAAGATAAATAATACCGTCTGGCGCTCGGCATTAAAAGATACTACAGTAAAGTACAGTTATAACGAACTCAAAGGGACTACTAATTTTAGTTCGTTATAACCGTAGTTCGTTATAAGCATATATACTATGCTATACTATACTATACTATACTATAATAGTCGGGACCAAAAAAGTAAGTTCGTTTTAACCGTCAGTTCGTTATTAGCGTGTTCGTTATAACCGTAGTTTACTGTACAATGATTTGTTGGCGCGGAGTCAGTATATACTGTGTCTGAGTGGGGTATCCATGTTAAACTGCAGCATGGTATCTCTGTGGGCTAGCACTGTAAAAGATAATAAAACCAACATAAGTCCGAACTCTAACGCGAACACACACGCCCACGCACGCACGCACGCACGCACGCATGCGCGACGTTATCCCCATGTAACATTGCCGCGATGTCAGTACAACAAACGATTGCTCAAATAAGAAAGTAGACGATTATACTTGAAGGTGAACATCGACGGGGATTATAGCAAGTGTCATTTTTACTTTTATCATTCTGTCACACGTCAAATGGTTCATACTGTAATGGCCCTTCAACTATGAACAGATGTTCAACAATGCAAACAAAAGACGGTGCTTCCGGATAAACGAGGTTTTACTGTACATGTGTAGACGTTGTAGATATCAGTGTCCGGATAAACGAGATTTCACTGTACACGTGTAGACGTTGTAAATATCAGGGTCCGGATAAACGAGATTTCACTGTACACGTGTAGACGTTGTAAATGTCAGGGTCCGGATAAACGAGATTTCACTGTACATGTGTAGATGTTTTAGATATCAGGGTCCAGATAAACGAGATTTCACTGTACACGTGTAGACGTTGTAAATATCAGGGTCCGGATAAACGAGATTTTACTGTACATGTGTAGACGTTGTAAATATCAGGGTCCGGATAAACGAGATTTCACTGTACACGTGTAGACGTTGTAAATATCAGGGTCCGGATAAACGAGATTTCACTGTACACGTGTAAACGTTGTAGATATCAGGGTCCGGATAAGCGAGATTTCACTGTACATGTGTAGATGTTTTAGATATCAGGGTCCAGATAAACGAGATTTCACTGTACATGTGTAGATGTTGTAGATATCAGGGTCCGGATAAACGAGATTTCACTGTACACGTGTAGACGTTGTAGATATCAGGGTCCGGATAAGCGAGATTTCACTGTACATGTGTAGATGTTTTAGATATCAGGGTTCGGATAAACGAGATTTCACTGTACATGTGTAGATGTTGTAGATATCAGGGTCCGGATAAACGAGATTTGACTGTACATGTGTAGACGTTGCAGATATCAGGGTCCGGATAGACGAGGCTTCACTGTACATGTGTAGATTCAGTTCACCATTCACTTTCCCTATGTCCACCCTGTGTAAGTGCGTTCATGGTACACACAACCAAAGCAATGTCATAAATAAACAAGTGATTTATTGTGAAGATATGTACAGATGATAAAATGTTCATAAATAATCGGTTGATGACGTTTGAGACGGCCCCCGCAGCCAGGGAGTCATCCAGCCATGAATCCCTCAGGTACACAGCGGTAGAACAGCAACTGGGGGGAGAGAAGAACAGATTGTACAAGGAATGGTCGGCTCGGAGTCAGAATACTGTGTCTGAGTGGGGTATTCATGTTGAACTGCGTGATGGTATCTCAGTGGGTTAGCACTATAAAACCGACATTAGTCCGGACTAGTACAAGCAGCCACACACACACGTGCATGCACGTCGCTATATAAGTGCAATAATCTTCAAAGCGACGTCAAACCCGAGTTCACATTCACTTTCGATGTCTGGCTGTGAGGAAACTATCCCAAACCAACAGTTGATCATCTAGTGGCAAGCTTTTAACAAGAGTGAGTGAGTTGGGTTTAACGCCGCTTTTAACAGTATTCCAGTCATATCGCGGCGTGTCAGCTTAATGTGGGAGGAAAGCCCGAAGTGATGCAGGTCTCAAACATTTACCACTTCGGTGAAACCCACGAGCACGGGTATGGTGCTGACAAACCTAGAAACATAATTGGGGCGAACCGGGATTCGAACCCACAATTATAGGTTTCTGGCGTGCCCAAGGGACGCAACTCTGCACAGCGAATCGCGGCGCCTTAGACGACTGGGCCACCCGTCCCCCCGCTTTTAACAAGAGCTCTCTTCTTTACAATGTTTATTGTGAACGAGTAAGCTGTGTAAATTTAGCCCTTCATCACTGCAGTGGAACCCACGAACACCGAAGGATGATAATCAGAACGAACCTGGTATTCGAACCATGAACAGCATATCTTGCCCGCAAAGGGACACAACTCTGTGGAGCCTTAGCAAACCAGACAGACAGTACCCTCAATTTCATGTAATTCTGACCCGTGAAGATCCGGGATAGAATATGTCTTCAGCAACCCATGCTTGTTGTAATAGGCGTCTATGCTTGTCTTAAGGGGCGACTAACGGGATAGGTAGTCAGGCTCGCTGACTTGGTTGATGCATGTCATCATATCCCAATTGCATGGATCAATGCTCATGATGTCCGTCACTGGAATGTCTGGTCCAGACTCGATTATTTAAAGACCGCCGTCATACATGGTCCCGAGGCAAGAGAGTTAACTGACTATGAAAGACCAGTTTCCACCGGTATCCACCCTGGTATTATGGAGTTTCATTTTGGCTGGACTAACGAGTCTATGCATAGTCCAATCAAAATCGCGCAACGAAATCGAAATCCGGTTAGTAAACTGTCGCGTAGATTTCGTTCGATTGCAGGATTTGCAAAGCATGTACACTGCCAACTTGTTGTCTACAAATATTTACCAAATCTTTTCATGTTTTTAATGAAGGTGCTCACGCAGTTTTATGCACTTCGCGAAGTTGATTATCTATAGGATCGTCTTAATTGGGCGCCGCCATTTTGTTTGTTTCAAATGCAAGTGATACGAGAGGTGGAATCTGATTGGTCCATGGGAGACATGACTCGTAATAACCACTGGTGGCGCTACGATCGAGCCCAGGAATTCCAGCCTAGTTCGGCAAGGGTGGAAACTGGACTTTTAAAGTCAGTTAATTCCCTTGCCTCGGGAAGATGCCGTCATACAGCTGGAATATTGCTGAGTGCGGGGTTAAACAACAAACAAAGTTCATGTAATTCTTAATTAATATCATTATCTCCGTTATCACTATCTTGATGTTTAACACCATCATTATCATGGTTTTTTTTGGTTTTTTTGTTTTACGCCGCACTCAGCAAAATTGACATCATGATCATCGATCTGAGCAATTGGGATACGATGACATGGTTCTTACGACAAGACCGGGTTGCTGGAGACCACTCCTACCAGAATCTTCACGTAGATTATCATTATGGCACACCATTATCATCATAATCCCCTGTGAACATCCGGGTTAGAAATTGTCTTCACTAACCCATGCTTGTCGTAAGAGGCAACTAACGGGATCGGGCGGTCAGACTCGGTGACTCGGTTGATCCATTTAATCGTATCCAAAATACGTAGTTCGATGCTCATGCGGATTGTTTGATCCAGACTCGATTATTTACAGATCGCCGTCATATAGCTGGAATATTGGTGAGTGCGACGTTAAACAACAAACCAACCATCACAATCATCCTCATCCTCATCACCACCCTATGCTGAGTGTATTATGTTCTTAAATATCAGAAAGAGCAGGACAGACCAAAAAAGGTCAGGGCGCCTAAAAATTGACAGAGCGCAAAATAAATAGGGCAGGGTGCAGCGCCCTGCTAACATATATTGGGGATACACCTGTGCTACCTTGGGATACTCACATCATCAAACTCCCCGATGAAGTTCTCGAGGCCGTTCCCCATCCCTATGGCCAGGGCGCATGTGATAGGCTTTATATGCAAGTCTGAAATATGTAACATTGCAAATGCAAATAGACACAGCGTTGCGTCAGCAGTAAATATAATATATATATATCACATTGATCCCGTGGGGATTCGCATCTCAACAGTTCCAAAGCAGCCTATGCTTTTCACAGAGGACGGCCTAAACTGGCTGGGAGTATGTGGCTGTTTGTATGTCACCAACCCTGAAGGCGTCGAACGTTGCCCATTATGTCAAAAAGGGTTGTATTGCAATATTCGCAATATGGAGATGTGTTTTGCGATCCAATTGCAAGACGTATTTATATATTTGTACTGTTCAAATGGTACTTCTTCAGTCTATATTCGAGACTTCAGATTGCGAGATGGGTTGCATGGATAACTAAGACCACCTATTTTGTCGTCAATGGAAATTGTAATGTAAATTTAAACAGCTTGAAGCGTGTGCTGTTTACATGAATTGGTTTCGATGGGAACCCAGTGCATCCAAATGCCTCATAAGAGTAGATATAATTTATATACTTATATATTAATTCTTCTATGACTGTATTGGAAAATAGCAATACACAAGGGTTGTATTGCGATATGTATATTGCCGACGGCCGTAGTGCAATATACCGTTATACCTGTTATATTGCACACCCCTTATGTCAACTGGGGTAGAATAGGTCTTCAGCAACCCATGCTTGCCGTAAAGGCGACTATGCTTGTCGTAAAAGGCGACTAACGGGATCGGGTGGTCAGGCTCACTGACTTGGTTGATGCATGTCATCCTATCCCAAATGCGTGGATCGATGCTCATGATATCAATCACTGGATTGTCTGGTCCAGACTCGATTATTTACAGACCGCCGTCATATAGCTGGAATATTGCTGAGTGCGGCCTTAAACAGCAAACCAGCAAACCAACCAGCCTGTGTACCTACAGACAACCGTGATGTAGCTGGACTATGGCTGACTATTGTCCAAAGCAACAATTTAGTTGCACTGATCACTAAAGACACCACGAAGCTCCCCGTATGGGTGAGGTGAAATGGGGTATAATGTTGCGTTCAAGATTATTACACTTATAGCGACAGAGATAGTTGTTTGTGGAGGAGGTGAATTGTTTCTGTGTATTCAGTTCATCATAGCAGGAACTGCTCGATCACAAACCAACCTCTGTGAGTGAGTGAGCGACCTTTTAAACGTACCGCATTTCCTCTAATAGACGCGCCGGGTATATCATATAGTCATTTATAAAAGGAATCGATATTTCAACTATATATCTGGGCGCGTCAGCTTCGTGTGGGAGTAAGCTCAAAAGTGATATAGACGTTGACTACTTCGGATTAAGACCACCAGTGCGGCCTTAAAGCAGACAGACCAAAGGACATAATCTGGAATTCGAACCCGTACTTAAAACCCGACAAAATACCTCTCAGCGTGACAGTCTGAAAAACCCTTCATAGAAGGTCGCGCCAGGTAAACCTGAGCGAACTTTGACCTCCCAAGTTAAATGAACTATACGTGCGTTCCTGAGACATTCAGATGTCAACTATCTAATTCGAGTCGGCTTAATTTCTCTACCATTTTCTACCATCGATTTTAACAAAATATAAACCACACAGAACACACATATTACTTAGTTCGTATTCTATCGCCATGGATGTCAGAAACGACAGGGTTTACAGAATATCCACAACATAGCCTTAATAATTTACATTCAGAACTGGCCGTTTAACTTCGTTTTTAAGATACCGAAATCAGATATGGGGGACTCGTACCGAGAATCTAGTACCCTCCACGCTGATTGGCTGTCGTGACTTGCCCTCCTATGGACAGATTGTCAGATTGTTACGCAGGAAGGTATCGTACCGGAGGTACGGATCTGATTGAGTCATGAAGTCAATATCCCCAAACTGCAAGATCCACTCCCACCAACGCTAAAAAGACTGAGATGACTCACTAGTGTATACAGGCCTCGCCTCCCTGTTGCCAACCTTGAATCGTATAATCGTGTTATTCCTCATCAGGTGCACAGCTGTCTCTGACGTCACGTTCTACAACCAGAAGAAGCCGCAACATCAGGAACTATCTATCGGAACTCTCTCTCTATATATATGTGTGGCATCGGCTAAAACAGATTCATCTGAGTAAAAACGGATCAGGGTCAATGAACGCTTTTTTAAAAAAGGAGTTATATTCTGGATGTGCTTGCTCACATTTCAAACCATAATTTTCCTCAAAATAATTAATTTTGATTAATATTACAAATACATTGGCCAGCCCAGACACCCAGTAAGCATTCTTCAAACATTCCTCTCGAAAATTAAATGACCCATGCAATGTTTATTTCTAAAGTACACGTCACTATTGCGACGTCATATTATTCTTCAGACAAAGAATCCCAACATGAGAGCAAAGAGCTGGCTGTAAACAAGGGCGGATCCGGCATTTTCAAAAGGGAGGTGTCCAAAATATTAAATCCTCTCTCCGATAATTTTACTGCCTACAGCATACTACATTTGATTTTCAAAAGGGGGCCCGTCTATGGTAAAGCTGTGTTAATGAAATTCACATCAATCTCTTTAGTCCACCGTGTCCAATAGCCTATGTCAAAGTCTAGTTTCCACCCTTGCCATTTCGAGCCTACTTTTCTGTGCTTAAATATGAGTGGACTATCGCACAAATGGATAGTCCAATCAGAGAACGTTTTACAAAATCAACATCCGTGTTCCAAAAACGCGGTCTCTGCCCCGGCCATAGCCATCGCCTGTCGACTTTTGCGCTGAAATTATTCCAGAAATTAAGCTAAGACAAATATTTTCGAAGTGGTCAACTCGCCCAAGTACTTTTATATATCTTAGTGCAAATTTCATTGAGCGCTTGAGATACGATGCTATATACTAAAAAGTATATTTACGGTGGTTAGCTGCTATTATGTTTGTCAAGGATGAAATTTCAAATATTTTCGTTATTTGATCGACCGGGTCGTCTGCTTCGCGAAGCCATTCGAAATAACAACAGCTAGCGAGCTGATTGGATATGCGTTTTTATCACATGGGGCACAAGTGGTGTATTACACGGGGTGGCGCCAGGATCGAGTCAAGAACGGTAGGCTAGAAATGGCAAAGGTAGGAACTAGGCTTTGGTACAGGCTGGTGGACACTATTGCCTTGGGAAGATGTTTTTAGTCGTGATTCGTAGGATTTTCTGATTAAAATGAGTTGCCAAACTTGCCATACATTTTCTAGGATACCGACACGGTATTTGAAGTTGCCAGACGCAATATTCCAACAAGATCACGGCGGGGAACACCAGAAATGGGCTTCACACAATGTACCCATGTGGGGAATCGAACCCGGGTCTTCGGCGTGACGAGCGAACGCTTTAACCACTAGGCTACCATACCGCCCCCCAAATTCCAACAACTGCAGTGTCATACCCAGACTACAACGTCCACTACTCACAACATCATGGATACTCCTCACGAAAGCGGTGTCGCTGCCACTCACTGTGACATGCAAGGTGACTGTCCTTCTTCTGATGAACATGCGCAGTGTGCCCCTTGCGCCATTGCACCCGTTACCGACGAGCGCCATGCCGTTTCCTCGCCGTGACTCATGGGAGGTAACTCTAAATTTGAAGGAGAGAGCAAACTGAGGCCGGAAATCGCTGTTGACGAGAAACGGTATTTCCAAACTTCCGGCACCGTGGAATATCGCCTTTTGATCTGAGACACCGACGGACCCTAATTTGGCCTGGTGGATCCGACCCCTGGACTCCCGCATACTACCATCATAAGGGAAGTAAAAATCATTTACGCATTCTGGGGAAGGGGCTGAAACAAAAACAGTTGTCAGTTGTTAAGGCCAGTTAAATAAAATTCTTGTCTTTTTTTCAAAACTGATGTGGGAGAGAGGGAAGCTCTTTGTTATTTTTTATTTATAATAAATAATTTCTGTAGAAGGTTACACCGCTTCTAGCAATGTCACGGCGGGGGGCACCAGAATTCATAATAACATTGTACCCCCGTGGGCCTTCGGCGTGACGAGTGAACGAGTGTACTCAAGTGGAGAGGGTCAGATTGTGTGTGTGTGTGTGTGTGTGTGTGTGTGTGTGCTCACGTGGAGATGGCCTGTGTGAGTGTGTGTGTGTACTCACGTGGAGATGGCCTGGTTGTGAGTGTGTGTGTGTGTGTGTGTGTGTGCTTGTGTACTCGCGTGGAGATGGCCTGGTTGTGAGTGTGTGTGTGTACTCACGTGGAGATGGCCTGGTTGTGAGTGTGTGTGCGTGTGTGTGTGTACTCACGTGTAGATGGCCTGGTTGTGAGTGTGTGTGCGTGTGTGTGTGTACTCACGTGGAGATGGCCTGGTTGTGAGTGTGTGTGTGTGTGCGCGCGCGGGTGTACTCACGTGGAGGGGCCTCTGTGTGTGTGTGTGTGTGTGTGTGTGTACTCACGCGCAGAGGGTCTGGTTGACGTACGTGTACGTGTGTGTGTGTGTGTGTGTACTCACGTGGAGATGGCCTGGTTGTGAGTGTGTGTGTGTGCGCGCGCGCGTGTACTCACGTGGAGGGGCCTCTCTCTCTGTGTGTGTGTGTGTGTGTGTGTGTGTGTGTGTGTGTGTGTGTGTGTGTGTGTGTGTGTGTGTGTGTACTCACGTGCAGAGGGTCTGGTTGACGTACGTGTACTGGTGTACGTGCACTGGCAGGTGGCGGTGTTGTAGACAAGGCCTGTCGGGCAAGACATTAATGTCCAGCCCAGCTGACTTCCCGAGTAAAACTTGTGCGGATCATGCGAAGGCCTCATTGTGTCACAATCTGAAAGATGTGCGGATGAGGCCAGTGTTTCTAAGGAACTCATTTAAAGCTCAAAGCTTGTCAAGGTAAACAAACTGCTGACTGTCATATTTCGTTATCGAGTGAATCCAACTTACAAATTACCAAATTAAATCATTCTTCATCTGTCAAGACCTTAAGGTGAGGTGAAATGGGGTTTAACGTCCAAGATTATTGCACTTATATAGCGACGTGCATGCACGTGTATGTGTGTATGTGTGGCTGCTTGTACTAGTCCGGACTGATGCCGATTTATAGAGTTTACACGCTCTACGCTCTACCATTAGACCACGGAGGCGGTCGTCCAAGACTTTGAGAATGGAAGGAATTCAATTCGAGCTGTTATATATAATATTATTGAAAAAAATGAAATACATATAGCGTCTGCTGACATTGTTTCGTAAACGGTACCTACAAGTATACGGTTATTGTTTCTTACACTGCTGGCGAAGGAAACATGACCTGCTGCGCACGCACATTGATGAAGAAGCGTCAAACCTCTCGCCCGGCTGACATCTCGCGTGATGTGATCTCCGATTCCCGCAGACGTAGTAGTTGTGGCAGGAGTCGACGTCCGGGTACTGGTATTTGTCGGGGCGGCTGCGGCAGGGGTCTGGAACAGTATGTTAGGATAGCTCACAAGAGTTCCACACGTATGAAGACCCAGTGGACATTTTCTCAAGAAAGCTAGCTATACATTATTCATTTCTAATTTTCCTCTCTAAGAATCCGAAAACAGCCTAAGATTGTAGCAGAGACGTATGTGTATCCATACGAGGCCTTATTGGCATGAAATCGAGACGATATCGGGATGATATAGTATAATATCGGTGTTATCGGGATGATATCGGGGTGTCATGGGATGATATGGATGCGATATTTGGATGGCATCGGGCCGTTATCTCGGATGGGTGTGGAGGAATCGGCGCGATATGAAGTTGGTATAATGGGCAGTATCGGGGAGGAATCAGATTGATAGAGGGGTAACACGAGGGCAGTCTCGGTGCCATAACGGAGCAGTACCGGTGCGGATTTAGGGCAGTAAGAGGGCGGTATGGGTCTTATAACGGAGCAGTACCGGTGCGGATTTAGGGCAGTAAGAGGGCGGTATGGGTCTTATAACGGAGCAGTACCGGTGCGGATTTAGGGCAGTAAGAGGGCGGTATGGGTCTTATAACGGAGCAGTACCGGTGCGGATTTAGGGCATTAAGGGGGCGGTATGGGTCTTATAACGGAGCAGGACGGGTGCGGATTAAGGGCATTAAGGGGGCGGTATGGGTCTTATAACGGAGCAGTACCGGTGCGGATTTAGGGCATTAAGGGGGCGGTAACGGTGTTATAAGGGAGTAGTACAGGTGCGGATTTAGGGCAGTAAGGGGGCAGGGGGGAGGGAGCACTCACCGTACGGACAAGAGACGAGGTTAACTTGCTGGCAGCTGTTGATGTCGTTGCTCCAGAAGGTGGCGCTGGGACAGAACTGTGTCTGGTTCTGCGAGTAGGAACACAGGACGAACATGTTGCACGTGCCAGGCACCGGGAACAAACCGTGGCCTCTCTCCGCCAGGTGCTTCTGGCACAGAACTGGAACAAGCGGGCGACTGGGAATCAGGAGATGAGTATGGTTTTACGCTGCTTTTAGCAATATTCAAGCAATATCACGGCGGGGGACACCAGAAATGGGCTTCACACATATTGTACCCATGTCGGGAATCGAACCCGGGTCTTGGGCGTGAAGCGCGGACGCTTTAACCACTAGGCTACCCGACCGCCCCGTAACAGGAGGTGACAGATTCGAGATAACAGAGGTCGCTTTTCACAGAGCACTGGTAACAGATATGACCTCATTGTGTACGCTGAGCAGATAGATGATATACAGTAGCAAATATACCACATGATGTATACTTAAGCCACAAAATAATAGTAACAGATATGACCTCGCTGTGTCCACAGAAGGCAGATATTCACAGTAACAGATATAGCCTATGATGTCAACAGAAGGCAGATATTCACAGTAACAGATATACCATTTTGTGTCATCAGAAGGTAGATATGGGCAGTAACAGATACACCTCATGGTGTCAACAGAAGGCAGATATTCACGGTAACAGATATACCGTATGGTGTCAACAGAAGGCAGATATTCACGGTAACAGATATACCCTATGGTGTCAACAGAAGGTAGATATGGGCAGTAACAGATATACCGTATGGTGTCAACAGAAGGTAGATATGGGCAGTAACAGATATACCTCATGGTGTCAACAGAAGGCAGATATTCACGGTTACAGATTTACCCTATGGTGTAAACAGAAGGCAGATATTCAAGGTTACAGATTTTTCCTATGGTGTCAAAAGAAGGCAGATATTCACGGTTACAGATTTACCCTATGGTGTCAAAAGAAGGCAGATATTCACAGTAACAGATCTTCAACCAAGTCAGCGAGCCTGACCACCCGATCCCGTTAGTCGCCTTTTACGACAAGCATAGTCACCTTTTACGGCAAGCATGGGTTGCTGAAGATCTATTCTACCCCGGAATCTGGAGTGGCATACACGAGGAAGAGAATGTAGGGATGTCAACTTCTTTATTATGAGGAAACCTAACGTTTCGGAGTATGTACTTACTCCTTCATCAGGTGAATGAATGCTATGAGGCAGAGAGCATATATATATATATGTGTACCTGTGAGAACAACAAAAGTAATCAGATAACAAATAGCACACAGGTAATGAAGCCAGATGTAGAGTATGAACAACAAATAGCACACAGGTAATGAAGCCAGATGTAGAGTATGAACAACAAATAGCACACAGGTAATGAAGCCAGATGTAGAGTATGAACAACAAATAGCACACAGGTAATGAAGCCAGATGTAGAGTATGAACAACAAATAGCACACAGGTAATGAAGCCAGATGTAGAGTATGAACAACAAATAGCACACAGGTAATGAAGCCAGATGTAGAGTAAGAACAACAAATAGCACACAGGTAATGAAGCCAGATGTACAGTAAGAACAACAAATAGCACACAGGTAATGAAGCCAGATGTAGAGTAAGAACAACAAATAGCACACAGGTAATGAAGCCAGATGTACAGTAAGAACAACAAATAGCACACAGGTAATGAAGCCAGATGTAGAGTATGAACAACAAATAGCACACAGGTAATGAAGCCAGATGTAGAGTATGAACAACAAATAGCACACAGGTAATGAAGCCAGATGTAGAGTAAGAACAACAAATAGCACACAGGTAATGAAGCCAGATGTAGAGTATGAACAACAAATAGCACACAGGTAATGAAGCCAGATGTAGAGTATGAACAACAAATAGCACACAGGTAATGAAGCCAGATGTAGAGTATGAACAACAAATAGCACACAGGTAATGAAGCCAGATGTAGAGTAAGAACAACAAATAGCACACAGGTAATGAAGCCAGATGTACAGTAAGAACAACAAATAGCACACAGGTAATGAAGCCAGATGTACAGTAAGAACAACAAATAGCACACAGGTAATGAAGCCAGATGTAGAGTATGAACAACAAATAGCACACAGGTAATGAAGCCAGATGTAGAGTAAGAACAACAAATAGCACACAGGTAATGAAGCCAGATGTACAGTAAGAACAACAAATAGCACACAGGTAATGAAGCCAGATGTAGAGTATGAACAACAAATAGCACACAGGTAATGAAGCCAGATGTAGAGTATGAACAACAAATAGCACACAGGTAATGAAGCCAGATGTAGAGTAAGAACAACAAATAGCACACAGGTAATGAAGCCAGATGTACAGTAAGAACAACAAATAGCACACAAGTAATGAAGCCAGATGTAGAGTAAGGAAAAGGATAAAACAGTTGTTGCAAGCTGATTGGATCCTAATTAAAACAATCTAATGTCTGATTAGCTCGTCACAGGCAGACGAGATGTAATACCCTTGATCTCCCTTGATCAAAGGCTTGTGACGGCGGATCTCTATAACAAGAATCTACATCGAGACGTCGTTATGTGCAATAAACCAGAAGATGTTACCATAAAGTTGTACGTTTTCCGAGTGTCATACGAGGAGGTATGCACAACAGACACAGAGTGATGGCACTCGCATACGTCCTGTGTCATAGGAGGAACAAGGAGTGCTTGTTAGCGCAAGGGAGGGCATCTGACTTGCCATATAATGCAACGTTTTATTGCTCGGGGACGTTCGGAGGTGCAATGTCGGTGATAAGAGTGTCATGTTAAGTTTTTATTAGGAAGGAGGCATGTGCTAGTTCCGACTGTAGGACAACTAGATGTGGCAGACACTTTGGATAATATGAGTTTATACCTGTATCGTCTAACCCGCTTTCATATCTGTAACATGACGGGGGTGTATAACCGCTCTAAACCCTGTAGCATGACAGGGGTGTCTAGCCGCTCTCAAACCTGTAGCATGACATGGGTGTGTCCCGCTCTTATATCTGTAGCATGATAGGGGTGTGTACCCACCTAAAAGCCTGTACCTTGATATGGTTGTCTATGCCGCTCTCAAACCTGTAGCACGACATGGGTGTCTATCCCGCTTTCAAACCTGTAGCATAACATGGTTGTCTACCCGCTCTCATATCTGTAGCATGATAGGGTTGTGTACCCACCTAAAAGCCTGTACCTTGACATGGTTGTCTATCCAGCTCTTAAACCTGTAGCATAACATGGGTGTGTCCCGCTCTTGTATCTGTAGCATGACATGGGTGTGTACCCACCTCTATAATTGTACCTTGACAGGGTCGTCTATCCCGCTCTCAAACCTGTAGCATAACATGGGTGTCTATCCCGCTCTCAAACCTGTAGCATAACATGGGTGTGTCCCGCTCTTATATCTGTAGCATGACATGGGTGTCTACCCGCTCTCATATCTGTAGCATAACATGGGTGACCCGCTCTCATATCTTTGAGCGGGATAGGGGTGTGTACCCACCTCCATACCTGTACCTTGACAGGGTCGTCTCTCCCGTTCTCAAACCTGTAGCATGACATGGGTGTGTCCCGCTCTTGTATCTGTAGCATGACATGGGTGTGTCCCGCTCTTGTATCTGTAGCAGGACATGGGTGTGTACCCACCTCTATAATTGTACCTTGACAGGGTCGTCTATCCCGCTCTCAAACCTGTAGCATAACATGGGTGTCTATCCCGCTCTCAAACCTGTAGCATAACATGGGTGACCCGCTCTCATATCTGTAGCATGACATGGGTGTGTACCCACCTCTATAATTGTACCTTGACAGGGTTGTCTCTCCCGTTCTCAAACCTGTAGCATGACATGGTTGTCTATCCCGCTCTTATATCTGTAGCATGATAGGGGTGTGTACCCACCTCTATAATTGTACCTTGACAGGGTTGTCTATCCCGCTCTCAAACCTGTAGCATAACATGGGTGACCCGCTCTCATATCTGTAGCATGACATGGGTGTCTACCCGCTCTCATATCTGTAGCATGATAGGGGTGTGTACCCACCTCTATACCTGTACCTTGATATGGTTGTCTATGCCGCTCTTAAACCTGTAGCATGACATGGGTGTCTGTCCCGCTCTCAAACCTGTAGCATGACAGGGTTGTCTACCCGCTCTCATATCTGTAGCATAACATGGGTGACCCGCTCTCATATCTGTAGCATAACATGGGTGACCCGCTCTCATATCTGTAGCATAACATGGGTGTCCCGCTCTTGTATCTGTAGCATAACATGGGTGACCCGCTCTCATATCTGTAGCATGATAGGGGTGTGTACCCACCTCTATACCTGTACCTTGACAGGGTTGTCTCTCACGTTCTCAAACCTGTAGCATAACATGGGTGTGTCCCGCTCTTATATCTGTAGCATGACATGGGTGTCTGTCCCGCTCTCAAACCTGTAGCATGACATGGGTGTGTCCCGCTCTTATATCTGTAGCATGATAGGGATGTGTACCCACCTCAAAGCCTGTACCTTGACAGGGTTGTCTATCCCGCTCTCAAACCTGTAGCATAACATGGGTGACCCGCTCTCATATCTGTAGCATAACATGGGTGTCCCGCTCTTGTATCTGTAGCATAACATGGGTGACCCGCTCTCATATCTGTAGCATGATAGGGGTGTGTACCCACCTCTATACCTGTACCTTGACAGGGTTGTCTCTCACGCTCTCAAACCTGTAGCATAACATGGGTGTGTCCCGCTCTCATATCTGTAGCATGATAGGGGTGTGTACCCACCTCTAAACCTGTACTTTGACAGGGTTGTCTCTCACGTTCTCAAACCTGTAGCATAACATGGGTGTCTATCCCGCTCTTATATCTGTAGCATAACATGGGTGACCCGCTCTCATATCTGTAGCATGACATGGGTGTCTACCCGCTCTCATATCTGTAGCATAACATGGGTGTCTATCCCGCTCTTATATCTGTAGCATAACATGGGTGTCTATCCCGCTCTCATATCTGTAGCATAACATGGGTGTCTATCCCGCTCTCATATCTGTAGCATGACATTGGTGTGTCCCGCTCTCAAACCTGTAGCATGACATGGGTGTCTACCCCACTCTCTCACCTGTAAC